AGGCAGAGAATAGATGGGGGCAGGGCCAGTCAGAGGTGGCATTTGCCGGTTCTCTGAACTACTCAAAATTTCCTCTACTGGTTCTCCAGAACTGGTCAGAACCTGCTGAATACCACTTCTGATTTCAGTCTTCTTGACTCCTGAAAATGGGGTTCAGCCTGATACTTCTCCTGGCCCAAATGCAGTAGTTGGGGCAGCTTTACTGGGGAAAAGTGGCTCTGTAGGTAACCCAATGCCAAGCCATAAAAAGCTTCATTAATTAAAATTAGACATTAAACTTCAATTAATTTAAACCCAAAATTAAATTAAAAATTGAATTAAATTGAACTTAAATTAAACTTAAATTAAGATTAAATTAAATGTGACGCACATGCAAACCGGGCAGGGCTTTAATCACCCAATCATAGTTGCCAACTTGACATTTTGGACAACTCATCTCCCATGAATGCTTCTGGCTAATTCCTCTCAAAGCTGAAAGGCTGGTATCAAAAGGGTCAAAAGTATTAGCCCTTTAAAAGCTTTTTGCAATTAGATTTCTTATTCATAATCACCTCTTCTAGCAATAAATGCCCCTTACTTCATCACCCTCATCCTCAATACAAAAAGACATGCTGTGGAGAAGCTAGCAGAATATTAGGGAACTAGAGTCTGAAGGAGAGCAATAGGTTAAAGCAGCCTACTTCTAGGAATGCATTACAGGGTCAATTTCTACAAAAGACCAAGGGGAAAGTGGATAAAGATAAACTCTGGCAATGTCTTGCAACTGGAACATTTTTTTAATAGAAAAAATAAACTGAAGGCTTGATTTGGGCTGCACGAGAGCAAGCTATTCGAACTAATACAACCAAGGCCAGAACTGAAAAAAATAATAGAATAGAATAGAATTCTTTATTGGCCAAGTGTGATTGGACACAAGGAATTTGTCTTGGTGCAAATACTCTCAGTGTACATAAAAGAAAAGATACATTTGTCAAGAATCATCAGGTACAACACTTAATAATAGTCATAGGGTACAATAAGCAATCAAATCATACTAGGAAACCGTCGATAAAAATCATAAGGATACAAACGACAAAGTTACAGTCATACAGTCACAAGTGGGAGGGGATGGGTGATAAGGAGTGATGAGAAGATTAATAGTAATAGTAATGCAGACTTTGTAAATAGTTGGACAGCATTGAGGGAGTTATTTGTTTAGCAGAGTGATGGCATTTGGGAAAAAACTGTCCTTGTGTCTAGTTGTTCTGGTGTGCAGTGCTCTATAGCGTCGTTTTGAGGGTAGGAGTTGAAACAGTTTATGTCTGGGATGTGAGGGGTCTGTAGATATTTTCACAGCCCTCTTTTTGCTCGTGCAGTATACAGGTCCTCAATGGAAGGCAGGTTGATAGTAATTGTTTTTTCTGCAGTCCTAATTATCTTCTGAAGTCTGTGTCTGTCCTGTTGTGTATAATCAAATGATTCAAAGTGCAGATTGCACAAAGGAGCAGAAGGAACAATAGATCAGATATTCAGCTTGCACAAGAAGATTGTGTAAACCGATGATAAACAACAACATAGCACAGTTGCCAAAATGATTCACTGGAACATCTGTAAAAATTATCATGTACTGGTAATGAAAAATTGATGAGAACGTAGAATTGAAAAAGTAGATGAAAATGAGCAGACCAAAATATTGTGGCATTTTCAAATACAAACTGATAAAAGACTTGGCTTATAACACACCAAACTGAAATGTGGTTGAACAGGGGAAAAAAGTGTGGATAATTGATGTGGCAATACCAGGAGATAGTAGAATAGAAGACAAAGGATTGGAGAAGATCACAAAGTATTAAGATCTGAAAATCAAAATGGAAAGATGATAGCATAACCCAAACAGGATGGTGTCACGGTGGTTATTGGCACAATGGGTACCATACCTCAAAATTTTAAATGGAATTTTTTAAAAAATCTATTAACAATATTTCTATGTGTCAATCACAAAATGCCACACTGCTTAGATCTTCACATGTGCTCCACTTATATTTTACAACTTCCCAAGTTCTTGGGAAAAAATCGATGTGTAGGAAGGCCAATACCAGCTAATGAACTGGCAGCTGTGTCTTCACATTTTTGTGAACAGAAAAGAATATATTAAATTCTGCCAACTTCCAGTGACTTTTGGCATTCATTTAAGCAACAATAAAGCAATTTATTAAGCAGCTGTGCCTTTTTCTAAACTCAACCAACAGGTGCAGTATTCACACTCTTACCTATTTTGAAGCATCTCTTCTGAACAGACACTAAAGCATTGTGCAGTGCTGAAAAAAAAACCCACTACATTTGCAACTGGCTCTCTCTGTCTTGTAGCCAATGCTTCATTTCAAGATGCTGAAGATGACATAGAAACATAGAAAAATCACAGCAGAAAAAGACGTAGCAGTCTATCGAGTCTGCCCTTTGAGTTTTTAAAAATTTATTTCATTTTTTTCCCCAGATGATAGAGATGTGTTCATTCCAAGCATGTTTAAAACACAGTTCGTAATACCTCAGCTGGAAGTTGGTTCCATGTATATTCTCTTCTGGCTTTATTCTCTCCTAGCACCACTGCAAAACAGGTCGGACTTAGAGGCCACCATCTCATAACACCTGCAGAGACTTTCGCAGAGGCAAAGATTGCTTTTAATCCTGGTTAGGATTGTGCGTATGCATGTGTGTTAGAGGTTTAGCACCAGGGCTGGCCCGCTGGGGGTTCACAGGGGTTCGGGAAAACCTCTAGCTAAGATTCTGCACACTTTGGAGAACCCCCAAATCCTACTCCTGGCTGGCTCCGCCCATCCCTCCCCTCCCAAGTGTCCCCACGCGGCCCATTTTGGATGCAGGTAAGTGCAGTGTGTGTGTGTGGAGCCTTGGGGAAGGTGAAAGATGGGCCTACCGGAAGTTTGGGAAGGCCAGAAATAGGCCCGTTTCTGGCTTCTTCTAGAGAGCTTCCAGAGCCCAGTGAGGCCATTTTTGCCGTCCCAGAGGCTTGAGGAAAGCCCCCAGAACTTGGGGAGGGCAAAAATTCCCCCCCCACCCGCTGTGGTGCAGGAGGCTGACTAGGCCACGCCCACCATGGCCATACCCACCCAGCAACCAGGCAGAGAACCCGTTGCTAATATTTTGGAAGCCCTGCTTAGCATATTGGAGAGACCCAGCCAACTTGCTTCGTTTATGATTCCATTCATTGCGGAACACTAATTTTTGTTGATGACGGTTATGGTTAACCAGATATCTGAGCAGGCCAAGAATGACACGGACTGGGGAGAAAGGAGGACATACTAACTGTTGAACAGAGGAAAATTGCAAGAAAATTTTACTTAGGCAAGCCTGTGCTGTTGTCGGCTTCCAAACCCCCAAAAGACATCCAGAGTTACTTCTAAATACAGTTGCTCCTCACCTAAAGACAGAATCTCACCAAACTTAAGGAACTACAAGTAGTCCTCAACTTACGACCTCAATTGAGCCCCAAATTTATGTTGCTAAGTGAGAAATTTGTTAAGTGAGTTTTTGCCCCATTTTACAACTTTTCTTGCCACCTTTGTTAAGTAAATCACTAAGGTTGTTGAATTAATAACATGGTTGTTAATGAATCTGGTTTTCCCTCATTGACTTTGCTTGACAATTACATGACTCCTGGACACTGCACCTGTCGTAAATGTGAGCCAGTTGTCAAGCATCCAAATGTAAATCATGTGGCCATGGGGATGCTACAACGGTTGTAAGTGTGAAAATTGGTCATAAGTCACTTATTTCAGTGATGTTGTAATGTTGAATGGTCACTAAATGAACTGTTGTAAGCCGAGGACTACCTGTACTTGCATCCTTAAAGTTATACTCTGAGAATTTCTAGGGAGGAGCCATTTTAACTCTCTTTCTCTTGACCAAACTTCACTGTCTCTTTGTCCTCTGGAATGCAGCCCCTCCTTCCTGGGAATCCAGACTACATTCCACCACACTATATATGAAATTAACAGATTAACAGAGATAATCAGAGTTGGAAGGGACCTTGTAGGTCATCTACTCCAACCCCCTACCCAAGCAGGAGATCTACACCATTTCTGACAAATGGCAGTCCAATCTCTTCTTGAAGGTCTCAAGTGATGGCGCTCCCACAACTTCCGAGGGCAAGCTGTTACATTGGTTAATTGTCAGAAAGTTTCTCCTTATTTCCGGGTTAAATCTCTCCTTGTTAAGTTTCCATCCATTATTCCTGTCTGGCCTTCGGGTGCTTTAGAAAATGGCTTGACCCCTTCCTCTCTGTGGCAGCCCCTCAAATATTGGAAGACTGCTATCCTGTCTCCCCTGGTCCTTCTTTTCACTAGACTAGCCAAGCCCAGTTCCTATAACCTTTCTTTGTATGTGTTGGTCTCCAGTCCCATAATCATCCTGGTTGCTCTTCTCTGCACTTTTTCTAGAGTCTCAACATCTCTTTTATAATGTGGTGAACAAAACTGGATGCAGTGTTCCAAGTGTGGCCTTACTAAGGCTTTATAGAGTGGTATTAGTACCTCTCTTGATCTTGATTGTATCCCTCTGTTGATGCAATTTAGGATTACTTTTTCCAGCACCAAAATAGGACTGGTTTTCCAGTCCTCATATTTTTCCAACAAATCTTTATCTTCAAAAACCTATGTTAGCGGTAATGCAGGGTTGACAGCAAAATGTTTTTCAAATTTACGCCAAAGAATCGTATGAACATGCCGTGTGGTCTACAGATTACAATGATCATAGATTTGAAAGGGTTGGGTTGAAGCCAATTCCTGGGATCAGGAAATCATTTGAATAGCATAAATCTAGGCTGTTGGGTCTGTCAAAGGAAGAAAGAAGCAGACAATTATACAGTGACGTCTGTTGGGGAAACAGTGCAAATAAATAAATAAGTCACTCAGAAAATGGTCAGTATTTGATGGCAAGGCTATGCCTGTTGGACAAAGGAGATGAGAACAAAAAGGGGTACTTAAGTACAAAAAAGGGGTACTTAAATGGCTGTCACAGAGAAGAGGGGGATTGACCAAAGTACGTGAGGGCTGGAGAAGAAGTAACGAGTAGAAGATCATTCAAGAAAGAAAGAGCCCACCTAGAACTAAGGAGAAGTTTCTTGACAGTGAGAACAATCCAATCAGTGGAACAGCTTACCTCCAGAAGTTGTGGGTGCCTCATCACTAGAGGTTTTCAAGAAAAATCTAGACTGGATCGCAGAGACAGCAGGGCCCCCTCAGTTAGTCCCAAAGGCGCTTTTTTTCGGGAGGCAACTGGACTTTCTGGTTTTTCTTTGAAGGCGTTTTGCTTCTCATCCTAGAAGCTTCTTCAAGCTCTGATTGGATGGTGGGGAAGGGAAGGATTTCTAATCCTTGCAGACAGCTGGTCGTTTGCATCCTTTTACAGAGTCCCTGAGGCCACCTGGAGGTTTATCTGTGTCCTCAGGGTCACCCGAGGGGTGCAAATGGGTATGGAGCCTCCTTGGAACTGATGAAAGGACTGTGTTGTAGACGGGAGATAGGTGATGTCGTATCCCCACCCCACCCCTCTGTTGAGCGACAGCTGTGACATACAATGTTGACATACGTAAGTCCCTTTTTTCAGGGCCATTGTAACGTTGAACAGTCGTTGAATGAAGGGTCGTAAGTCAAGGAGTCCTTTTATGTGAAAACAGGCAGGGGTCGTGTGTTAACCAGGCTGAAAGGTTAATCTTTCAAGAAGAAATCCGTGATCCGGGCAGGTATCTCTTCTAATTTGTGGCCCTCTTTTGTCCTAGGTTCCCAGGATCCCGGGAAAGTGATCCACATCAACAAAGTCAGCCATCAACCAGTGCGGGTTGGGCTGGCAGAACCGGTGTCCCTGCCGTGCCTGTTTCTCTTGCAAGGCTCCGTCCCCCTGAACCCCAGTGAACTGTCTGATCTCCCCCGTATCAAGTGGAGCAAAGTACAGTCTGCCACTGGACAGCCGGAAGATCTCCCTGTGCTGGTAGCCAAGGATAATGTGGTGAAGATCTCCAAAAACTACGAGGGCAGGGTCGCCTTGCCCGGATACCCTCACCATCGAGAAAATGCCACCCTCTTGTTTCTGTCAGCTCGGGCCAGTGATGCGGGACTTTATCGATGTGAGATTGTCATTGGGATTCATGATGAGCAGGACTTGGTCCCTCTGGAAGTCACAGGTAAGAAAAGGGCTCAGTATGTCTCTGTCTCTATCTCTATCACTATCTATCTATCTGTCTGTCTATCTATCTATCTATCTATCTATCTAACTATCTATCTTCTATCTATCTATCTATCTTTCTATCTATCTCTCTCTCTCTCTCTCTCTATATATATATATATATATATATATATCTTTCTGCCTGCCTGCTTGCCTATCTATCTATCTATCTATCTATCTATCTATCTATCTATCTATCTATCTATCTATCTATCTAATCTTTCTGCCTATCTATCTATCTATCTATCTATCTATCTATCTATCTATCTATCTATCTATCTATCTATCTAACTATCTATCTATCTATCTCTTTCTGCCTGCCTGCCTGCCTGCCTATCTATCTATCTATCTA